GGGTGAAAGAATTCATTTTTCAGACGCAAGCCTCCACCCAGCATTTGCTTGGAGGCCTATCTTACCTTTCTCTGGGATGACAAATGCTCACGTCCCTCCTGTCATGGTTGGGAACAGGGAATACATGGGCATCTGTGCTTGAGTGCTGAGCATTTGTGACAATAGACAAAGACGACGGTTGAGTGTGCAGACATTCTACAAGCTGAATTCTAATCCCAACTTGCCACTAACCAGGAGTTGGAAGGAATAGAAATGGTTCTGGGCAGCCATTCCTTACTTGGGGCAGATAATACGAAGCTCACTGCCTATAGGTGGAGGGTTGGTGGTCCCATCTGAGGAATGCAGCTGAAGCCCTGGAGAGTTACATGATGGAGTAATTGTGATATTAGTTAGGTTAGGCCCTTCTACCATCTCCAGGGGAAGAAAATCCTCCTGTCTGCCTGGGATGCTTCTGTAGTAGAGAAGCTTTTGGTTTGGCTTTTTTTTTTTTTTTTTTTGACTAAGTGGTATTTCCAAACACTTTTTAAAAAAATGTAGACATCAAACCTTTGGAGAGGTACAACATGAGTCAGAGCAGAATCAGGAGAACCAGTACAAAAAAGAGGAGGGAAATTTCAGGGCACTGAGTATACTCAGTGCAAAAAGAGGGTAAAAGAGAGAAGGCAGAATTGGAGGGAGAAGTGGTTTCACCTTCACCCACCCCACACCCACTTGAGGAGAGTCATCTTGTCCTTTGTTGAAACAACAAAGATGACTGGGCAGGACTCTTTCCTTCCCAACAGTACACCAGCTGCACCTGCCTTGCATCCTTGGCTGTGGAAGAGGTAAACCTGAGGACAACACTCCTCTTGAGCTCTGGCCTTTACCCCTCACTGCCCCGCAGGACTCTTTCTGACCCATGGACTCCTCCCCTCTCTCGTCACTGCCATCATAGAACATGCCCAGATGTTTACCCTCGTGAAGAAACTGCCTATGACTCCATGTCCCTCTCTGGCCACCACCCTGCTGCTTCGTGTCCCTTCCCAGAGGGTGGAACTTCTTTTTTTTTTTAAGATTTATTTTTTATGCATACAAGAACTGGGGTACAGGCCCAGAGGTGTGGGGCGGGGGGTTGAGAGGATCCACCAGAGACAGAGTGGGGAACAGAACAGGCAGACTGGCTGAAATACACTGCCGAGGGGAGCAGCGGGTGAGACAGGAGAGGTCTGCTGCACCATGTGGGTTGCTCCTGGCCAGCTGGGGATCGAACTCGTGCTGCTGAACTCATGCTGCAGAGGCTGCGGATTGCTTCATAGTGCCATGCTTAACTCCTTGCGCCATCAGGGAGGCTCTCTGTTGCCAGTTTTTAAATATAGGCCATTCTCACTGGTCTAAGTTTTGATTTGCATTTCCCTCATAATAAGTGATGTTGAACATATTTTCCTATACCTTTTGGCCATTTGCATTCCTTCTTTTGGGAAGTGTCATTTTAGCTCTTCTGTCCAGTTTTCGATAGAGTTGTTTGCTTTGTTCAATTATGTAAGCTCTTTGCAGGTCACTGATATCAGTCTCTTATCAGTTGTATGGAGGGCAAATACTTTCTCCCATTCCATGGGGTGTCTTTTATTTTGGTTACTGTCTCTTTTGCTGTGCAAAAAGCTTTTTAGTTTGATGTAGTCCTAGCTGTTTATTTTTTCATTTATTTTGGTTGCTTTTGGAGATGGGTCCTTGAAGATATTTCTGATGTGTATGTCATGGAGTGCTTTGCCTGTGTTTTCTATTACATATTTTATGGGTTCAGGTCTTACATTCAAGTCTTTTACTACAACCATTTTGATTGGTTTTAGTGTATAGTGTGAGGTAGTAGTCTAGTTTCAATCTTTTGCATCTTTTGAATGTGGTGTGGACCAATTAGTTTTTATTTTATTTTTTAAAAGATTTATTTATACAAGCACTGGGTACAGTCAGAAGCGTGGGAGGGTGAGAGGATTCACCAGAGCCAGAGCAGGGAGCGGAACAGGCAGAAGGGCCGAGGTACACTGCTGAGGGGAGCAGCGGGCGGCTGGAGGGGTCTGCGCGCCATGTGGGACCCTCCTCCGGTGGCCGGGGAGCAGCCGGGGATCGAACCGGCGCCGCAGAGGCCGCGGGCAGCTTCGCAACCCAGCGCTCAACCTCTGCGCCACCGGAGAGACCCAATATTATCATTCTTAATGCCACTTAAGGGTATTGGCATACTGACAAGGGGGAGAGAAAAACTACAGTATCTTGATTTGGCTTCAGAACCAATTGTGTTTCCTTCTAAAGGAAGTCTATATGTATTTATTTGTGTGAACTCTTACCAATTGTTCCTAACAACCTTATAGTAGTTACCAAATAATATGTCAGACTTACTTTTTTATGTGATTTATTCAATTTTATGTGATTTATTCAACTAATAATAATGGATCAGTCTTTATTGTTAATAATGAGGACTTTTTTCAGAACTTTTACAACCAATAAGTAACATTGCTTACATTCTAGAAAAGACATTTAGATAACAGTAGTCCCATGGTTGCCAAAATGAATTAAGTTCATAATCTAGTAGGATTTGATAGCAGGAGTAATTGAATGATGCAAGAATGCCAAAGCAAATTTAAAGGCAGAGGAGTCAACAATGACCAATTAGCAATAGCAACTCAAACAAACAAGATAATTAATAAAAATTTATTATCATGATTATAGAACTCTCTGATACTAAAATACAGATCTTCATGGTAATGGAAAAAGCATGATTTTGACCGAAGTGCCTCAGTGTAGCTAAGTGGGAAAATACTGTTACTGTTGCTGAGGAGGCCCAGCCACACTAAGATACTGCAAGGAATTGCTATAAATATATTATAATTATCCTTAAATATATTTATAAATATATGTATATATATAATAACTTTTTTTTTTTAAATTTTTTTTTTTTTTTTTTATAGAGGCATGTTTTATTTTTTATTTGTTTGTTTGTTTGTTTTGTTTATACATGCACTGGGTACAGTCAGAAGCGCGGGAGGGAGAGAATTCACCAGAGCCAGAGCGGGGAGCAGAGCAGGCAGAAGGACCGAAGTACACTGCTGAGGGGAGCAGCGGGCGGCAGGAGAGGTCTGCGCGCCATGTGGGACCCTCCTCCGGTGGCCGGGGAGCAGCTGGGGATCGAACCGGCGCCGCAGAGGCCGCGGCAGCTTCGCAACCCAGCACTCAACCGCTGCGCCACCGGGGAGGCCCTATATATAATAACTTAAAATAACATTTCATGTTTCTCTGCTTCTGAAGAAAAGTTTCAAGGAGCATTTTTTTTAAATTTTATTTTTATCTTCCCCTTACAGTTGCAACCCCCTTACTTTGACCCCTTACCCACCTTTCCCCGCTCCCCACACCCTATAGTGTGTCTCTGGTTCATAGTTGTTTGTTGATTTTGATTTTTTCTTTCTTATAGTTATTCTTTTTCCTTGTCCCTTATTTAGGTTTTTTAGATTCCTGCTATGAGTGAGACCATCCGGTATTTTTCTTTTTCTTTCTGGTTTTATTTCACTGAGCATGATCCCTTCCAGTGCCATCCATATTGCTGCAAATTGCATGTGTTTATCTTTTCTAAGTGCTGAGTAATATTCCATGGTGTACATGTACCACATCTTCCTGATCCAGTCATCTATTTTTGGGCATTTGGGTTGTTTCCAAAGCTTAGCTATTGTAAATAGTGCTGCTATAAACATAGGGGTGCAGGTGCTCTTTGGAATTGATGTTTCTGTGTCCTTTGGGTAAATACCTAGGAGTGGAATTGCTGGATCCTATGGAAGCTCTATCTTTAGTAGGTTGAGGAATCTCCACACAGCTTTCCATAGTGGTTGGACCAGTTTGCACTCCCACCAGCAGTGCAGGAGAGTTCCTTTTTCTCCACATCCTCGCCAACATTTGTTGTTGCTAGTTTTTTTAATATGTAGCCATTCTCACTGGTGTGAGATGGTATCTCATTGTAGTTTTGATTTGCATTTCCCTGATTGCAAGTGATGTTGAACATTTTTTCATATGCCTGTTGGCCATTTGCATTTCCTCTTCGGAGAAGTTCCTTTTTAGCTCTTCTGCCCATTTTTTGACTGGATTATTTTCTTTGTTTGTGTTGAGTCTCATCAGCTCTTTGTAGATTTTTGTGATCAGTCCTTTATCATTAGTGTTGGGTGCAAAAATGTTCTCCCAGTCGGAGGGGTTTCTCTTGTTTTGGTTATTGTCTCTTTTGCTGTGTAGAAGCTCTTTAATTTGATGTAGTCCCAGCTGTTTATCTTTGCCTTCACTATCACTGCTTTGGGTGATGTGTCTGTAAAGATGTCTTTGAGGTGCATGTCATGTAGTGTTTCCCTTTAAGTTCCTTCTATATACTTTATCGTTTCAGGTCTTATGGCTAGTCTTCAATCCATTTTGAGTTGGTTTTTGTGCATGGTGTGAGGTAGTAGTCAAGTTTCATTCTTTTGCATGTAGTGACCCAGTTTTCCCAGCACCATTTATTGAACAAACTTTCTTTGCTTCAAGGAGCATTTTATTAAAGTGATCTCACTGGTCGGCATAAAATACTGTTAAGGCTAGAAGAATAAAGTATCATTCTCTCCCTTTTTGATGCTGATAAAACTGAGTCCCAGAAATGTATAGTACTTAATTAAGGGCCCATCAGCAATTTCAAAACAGAAGGCAAGCAGTTACAATGAAATCCTGGGTAATGGCTTCCCCTTTCAACTGCTATTGTGGGTATTTTTTAATTTTCTTATGCCTTGGTTAACCCAACTGTTATATGGATAAAGTATTTTTTTTGTAGCAATAGTCATTAGTTCTGATCCCCCCAGGATTGTTAATGAGGAGCAATAATTAAAATGATTGGTACTTTGCAAAGTGTAGGGTGTTCTTTAAATAACAAACAACATTATATATTAGCGTTGGTTCTAATAGACCTTGTTCTCTCACAAAGAGAGTAAACATTCATTTAGAATTATAAAGTCTCAGCACATGCTCAGCAAATGACTAAGAGTGAAGAATTTGACTGCTTCATGTACATGGTACATACAGACTGTCTACACATCACATGTTTAATTGACTTCAGAGTCAAGACTAGATTTCCAGTATCATAAAATCAACACTAGAGGGTTTTCCACGTGCCAGGTGCACCAGCTCATTTTCCTTCGTGGCAAGATACAATGTTGGATTGGCAACTGACTTGAAGAAGCTCTTCAAGTCATCACTTTCCCAGAAGAAGAGGAGGCTGGCCTCAGCTGTCTCTTGTTTGATCATTCCGGGTGTCTCAGACATCTCCTATGATAAGGAGAACAGAGATCTGGTCAGATAACAAGATGATGCTAGAAAAAGAACTGAAGCTCAACCGCTTGGCATTTGACCCTCGTGAGAACATAGCACTATGGGACTATGACTTTGTAATATGATGAGTTCTTCATTCATTTGTTCATTCAGCAAGTATTTATTACATGCCTATTAGATGTATGGCTCAGTCTTTTTGACTAAGTATATTTCCTTACTTAACTGGAGAGAATTTGAAATTAGTCACGAAGATTGCCTATGACACTAATGTCCTGCTGTTGCACGGTGGGTAGGGGTGAAACATTGTTCTTGTCTTGCCTTCAACATAGGCACAGGACATTTTGCATCAAATCTGAGCCTGAGTGATTCTAAACCTCTAAGCATTTTGCTTCCTGAGTGTGTAAATCATGCCTTTTGGAAAATAATTTATCTCCATGTTTAAATAAGCAGTTGAAGGTTTAAAAAAATAAAAAGGTGTGTGCATGTGTGTGTATGTACACACTCACCCCACGCAAAACTTCCCAGGTATATAACACTGGATCCTTTCAGTACAATTTTGACAATTGTGATCGCTTTTGGGTGAACTTTTCTTGTAGTTAATAGAATCTAATGATAACTTCATGGAAATATTGAGGTGTTTTCTTCTACTCTTCTTTCGTCTAAAGCAACTAAATATCCTTTTGAGGTTTCCTTGGGGTTGTCAATATCAGCAAAGATCTTATTTCTCAAACCTATTCCTCTCAGTTTTTTCTCCATTGCAGTAAATGGAGTTTCTCCCCTTCCTCCCATTGACTCCATTTCCAAAATACAACCAGAATCTTTCCACCAGGCCCACCATTTCCCACCCATGACTATTGTTAGAACCTCCTAATGGGCTCCGTGCTTTCTCTGATGCTTTCCTTCTTATCTAGTCTCCGTTTTAGAAAATATGAGTGAAGGCATAACACTTCCCTGTTTGAAACCTTTTAATGCCTTTTCTAACGAAAAGGTAATGATTTCATTATTCCAAATGAAATTCAATGCAAAGCTCTGCAAACAGTAGCCTCTACTTCTCTTCCCTCCTCACAGTGCTCCACCTCCTTTGATCTTTGAAGCTGGTCTTGAAGTTCTTGATGCTCAGGGCTTGGGTGCACTCTGTTTGGAATGCCTGCCATGCTCCCCGTTGCATGACTTGCTCCCTTCTATTAGCAGGTTTCATCTCCTAGGGAGCTCTGCCCCTGCCACTCTATCTAAATGGCACATTCCATTTTTCTCTACCTCCTCCTTGCTTCATTTTCTTTATAGCACTTTGCATTTTTTTGCTGGCTGTTTGGCTATCTCTTGTCTGTGTCTGTTCTATAAAACTAGGCACGTTGACTCCCCACTCTCTACATAAATGTTAGTATTGTGTTTGTAAAATAGAAGACTCCCAATACCTAACTCTTGTTGAATGAATTAATGAATGACGCTACAGCCTTACTCTGTTGACATCACTTTCATCTCACTTGATCAAGGGAGAGAAACACATGTGCACACCTAAGTCCTAATTGAGGGCAGTGGTGGGGCAGGGAGGGTCAGATTATACATTTACTGAATAACAATCACATACTTATAAGTGGAGAAAACTAAGGCTAGGGTGATAATGTGTGTGTATTTTTGGGGGGAAGAGGGAAGGAAGTGGAGGTTGCACTGGCTTGAGGAATAATGCTGGCCCCAATGAGGACAGAGTCATCAGAACCAGAAGGCCAGGTTAGAGCCTTGGCAGCCAGCTTTTGGCTTTGTGCCCATTGTAGGTGATTAATCCTCTTGATTTAAATCAGATTATTTGAGGTTTTTTTTTTTTTTTTAAAGATTTATTTATTTATTTATAGAAGCACTGGGTATAGTCAGAAGCGTGGGAGGGTGAGAGGATACACCAGAGCCATAGTGGGGAACAGAACAGGCAGACTGACGAAATACACTGCTGAGGGGAGCAGCGGGCATGGCAGGAGAGGTCTGCGCACCATGTGGGACCCTCTTTGGTGGCCGGGGATCGAACCGGCACCGCAGAGGCTGCAGGCAGCTTCACAGCCCCTGCTCAACTGCTGCACCACCAGGGGAGGCTCAGATTATTTGAGTTTTTGGGAGGAAAGTCCCATAATCCTATGTCTCCTATCACACAGATCAGATAGACATTAGCAAAGATAAACGATCAGAAGAATAGGTGGATGCTGTAGGATAGGAGAGGAGTAGGATCAGGCAGGGAAAAGAAAAAGAAGGCAGGAAACAATTTACTTTCATTTACTCTTCCCATCTCCATTTTACTTTATCTCTCACAAATCCTGCCTAGAATATTTTCTGGGGATAGGTGAGAAATAGGATGGGGGGACAGGTGGGCAGGTGGAGATTGTGTGGAAAGAGGAGTTCTGTGCTACCCTGTGAATATCATTTACTTCCTAGTGGTTTCATTTACAAATGTGTAGTTCTAAAAGAGGGTAAATTAGAGATTGAGAATAACTGACCTTTAGCAATATGGGTTGACCTTCATTTTGGGCACTCACAAAGAAGCGAGTGTCTGAGATTCTTAGAGCCACAGGAAATTGAGAATCCTCGTGTGATCTGTACGCATATATGTCAAATTTCACTGGCAAAAAGAAAAACAAAAATAGATTAGATTCATTGTATTTGTAGAAAATCGAGTGTTTTTGTAGCGTATGTGTGTAGAGTGAAGTATGTGTAAGTGCTACGAGTGGAATAGTATATATCTTGGTATCTTCACAATAATTGTGACATCACAGGCAGGTAAATACTTGGTTAATGTCTTTAGAACTTAGTTGAATGTTGAGATTCTTAGAGTCACAGAAAATTTAGAATCTTCTACTGATATGTAAGCATATCAGGCTGAGTATTTGTTGAAGCCCTTGCAATTACGCTAATGAGATAAAAACCTGCAGTTTGTGAGGTCATTAGTTCATAATGACTTAAAATGGAGAGGTTTAGGGAAACTTCCACTCATGTGTGGCTGTTGATAGTAATAAATTGTATAGCTTTCCTGAGAGAACAATGCTTAGCAAGAGCTGTAAAATTATTAATGCATAGGAATCCAGGTTTGGGATATGCTTTAAAGAAACATAACCTTGGATTCTCTTCATGAAGATGGCTCTGGAAAGTAAAGAAGGAAGCAGGCAAGACAGGAGAGGCCTGCTGCGCTATATGGGTTAGCTTCCTGGCTGGGGATTGAACTCAGGCCGTAGGAATGATAGCACTGAGACTCAAAGCCCATGCCACCAGGGAAGCCCCATGTTACTTTCTTATTTCCTTCAAGATTTCTACTATCAAATAATAAATTTTTCTAGATTCCTGGTGCTTGCCATTCTTCTGTGTTGCCTGGGGCTCGTATTTCAGTAGATATTTTGCTCCCCACTCTGTCTCTGGTGAATCCTCTCACCCCTTGCACCTCGACCTACACCTACATTAATTTATTCAATGCATAAATTAAAAAAAAAGGAAGTAACAAGAGAGGAATATGACAGTGTTGGGCGTTTACCTGCATCATCCAGGTTCTGTAGTGCAGCTGTCCTGAGGTACCGCTGACCTGGTGCGGATCGAATCACGCTTTCATTGAGGGCATTGTTCATGATGCACCTCTGTTTGATTTTCCTCCCAAAGGTGAACTCCATACTGCTCTGAAAGTTGTAAGATACTGATCTGGGTTGGATGATTTCTAAAACCATTACCACAAGTTCAGATTAATGTCAAGATACAAACCCAGATGAGACAACCGTTCTAATACAAGCACCGAAGTAGCCATGGAGGGGTTATAGGAATAACTGAGTTGAGGAAACAGAAAGAAGTGAAATAACCCAAGCAGCAGCAGAACTGACTCTAGGATTATCCTTGGTGTTACTTAATTGATTTTGCTTTCAAACTTTGATTCCTCAGGCAGTTGCTTGGTCTTATTAAGAGATTACTTGTGTAGCTTTTTCATTTTGGGTTGGTTTGGAGGTTTCTAAGTAGCCGGGAGACTCATAGTATTCCCCATCTATATTTCAAATGAATGCACCCTGAGAAAAAGGTGAAGATATTAAGAATTATATATGTCACTCAGGGTGCAGGTTTAAATGTCTGCTACCTAGTGTTATCAATAGCTTCACAAATCCTCATGGTTCTGAGTAATTCTACTTCCTGGAATCTATTCTAAGGATTCTAATACTGATAGACATGAAGATTCATTGATATGGATATTCATAGTTTTTTTTCCAGTGGTGACTACATTTATTGAAGACCCCCTCCCTATAAACACTCGTTGCATTACTTATAATGATGAAATAAGGGCACTCGATGTAAGTGTCCTTGCTAAACTGCTCAGTGAAAAAAGTTGGATTAAAAATTGTATGTTATACAAGGAATCCAAACAGACAAGGAAGAAGTCAAACTATCACTATTAGCAGATGATATCATAATATGCATAGAGAACCCCAAAAACTCTACAGAAAAACTAATTAACCTAATCAATCAGTTTAGTAAAGTGGCAGGATACAAAATCAACATGCAAAAATCAGTAGCCTTCTTATACACAAACAATAAATCTAAAGAAGAAGAAATCAAGAAAACCATTCCTTTTATTATTGAAACAAAAAAAAGTCAAATATTTGGGAATAAACCTAACAAAAGAAGTAAAGGACCTATACAAAGAAAACTATAAAACACTGTTAAAAGAAATAGAAGTAGACACAAAAAAATGGAAAGACATCCCCTGCTCATGGATTGGAAGAATTAACATTATCAAAATGGCCATCTTACCAAAAGCAATCTACAGATTCAATGCTATTCCAATTAAAATTTCAATGTAATTCTTCAAAGAAATAGAAAAAAATATTGATGAAATTCATATGGAGCCACCAAAAACCCTGAATAGACAAAACCCTCCTGAAAAAAAAAGAAGGGAATGGAAGCATCACTCTCCCAGATTTCAAACTATACTACAAAGCCATAATAATCAAAACTGTGTGGTACTGGAACAAGAACAGACACATGGACCAATGGAACCAAATAGAAAACCCCGAAATAAACCCACAGATTTGTGGTCAGCTAATCTTTGAAAAAGGAGCAAAGTATATGCACTGGAGCAAAGAAAGGTTGTTCAATAAATGGTGCTGGGAAAACTGGGTCACTACCTGCAAAAGAATGAAACTTCACTACTACCTTACACCATGCACAAAAACCAACTCAAAATGAATTAAAGAACTAGCCATAAGACCTGAAACCATAAAATATATAGAAGAAAATATAGGCGAAACACTACATGACATGCACCTCAAAGACATCTTTATAGACCCATCACCCAAAGCAGTGATAGTGAAGGCAAGGATAAACAGCTGGGACTACATCAAATTAAAGAGCTTCTGCACAGCAAAAGAGACAATAACCAAAACAAGAGAAACCCCTCCGACTGGGAGAACATTTTTGCACCCAACACTAATGATAAAGGACTGATCACAAAAATCTACAAAGAGCTGATGAGACTCAACACAAACAAAGAAAATAATCCAGTCAAAAAATGGGCAGAAGAGCTAAAAAGGAACTTCTCCGAAGAGGAAATGCAAATGGCCAACAGGCATATGAAAAAATGTTCAACATCACTTGCAATCAGGGAAATGCAAATCAAAACTACAATGAGATACCATCTCACACCAGTGAGAATGGCACATATTAAAAAAACTAGCAACAACAAATGTTGGCGAGGATGTGGAGAAAAAGGAACTCTCCTGCACTGCTGGTGGGAGTGCAAACTGGTCCAACCACTATGGAAAGCTGTGTGGAGATTCCTCAACCTACTAAAGATAGAGCTTCCATAGGATCCAGCAATTCCACTCCTAGGTATTTACCCAAAGGACACAGAAACATCAATTCCAAAGAGCACCTGCACCCCTAGCAGCACTATTTACAATAGCTAAGCTTTGGAAACAACCCAAATGCCCAAAAATAGATGACTGGATCAGGAAGATGTGGTACATGTACACCATGGAATATTACTCAGCACTTAGAAAAGATAAACACATGCAATTTGCAGCAATATGGATGGCACTGGAAGGGATCATGCTCAGTGAAATAAAACCAGAAAGAAAAAGAAAAATACCGGATGGTCTCACTCATAGCAGGAATCTAAAAAACCTAAATAAGGGACCAGGAAAAAGAATAACTATAAGAAAGAAAAAATCAAAATCAACAAACAACTATAAACCAGAGACACAGTATGGGGTGGAGCAGGGAAAGGAGGGTTTGGGGTCAAAATAAGGGGGTTGCAATTGTATGGGGAATATAGAAATAAAAAAAAAATTGTATGTTACATGATCCTAATAATGTTAAATATCTTTGTTCGTGTGTGTTTGTATACAGAACAGACTTTAAGGAACGTACCGTGGTGTGGCAGTGGCAAAGTTTGAGTGATATCATGAATGACTCTTGTTTCTTATATTTTCCAATTTTCTAGATGAACATGTATTAGTGCTGAGCTGTTGTCTTAAAAATCCCTTATACTAAAAATATTGGTTTATTATTCACATGGAGGCTTGTACAGTAAAGGAGGAGAGAAAAATCATGATTTTTATTGTTGAGTTTGTTGATACTCTCCTACCTACATAGTATGTGACTTTGGGCAGGTTACTATTTCACTGAGTTTAGTTTCCTCACCTCTTAAATGAAAATGTAGGATTGTTTTGAAGTTCAGAGAGAATTATGCAGCATTAATAAATTAGTAGTGTACGTATTAAAAAGGCCGTATTAGTAACAAAAACAGCAGCAGCAAACATTTGCTTACTGTGCACCAGGCATTGTTCTAGCCCATGGTTTGTGAATATATTTCCTCATTTAATCCTCATATCAAGTAGAGGCTCTGATTACCTCCATTTTACAGTGGAGGAAACAACACAGAAACACTGAGGAACTTGTAGAAGAGACATAGTTAACACGTGGGCTTGGAAGTGGTCACCCATTGGCATTACATAACTGCTTTCTGCAGAAAGGCTCAAAGTCACACGGCCTTTCCACCATGATCAGGAAATGAGCTGTGAGCCAGACACCCCACACTCACGCCATCATCGCTGCCTTCTCCCCACTGGAGAAGGGGACATTCATTTTGCTTCCTGTAGTTATCAGATTTAGCCTGGTTGCCCTCTTGTTACTATGACTGCACGTTTTATTTCCCCTTGTATTGTTTCAGTTTACTCAAGTGTAAAACAAGGATATTATTGTACTGGACCCCTTACCTTCTTCTATATCATTAGCAGTGGCTTCCAGGTCATGGTCAATGATGAAGTGATTTAAACTCAACCTTTTCTTTAGAATCTTCCTATTGGCTGAAAATACTACCACATTCTTCTTGAAGGCAAGCTTGGGCGTCTTAGAGGTTTCGGAGGTGCTCAGAGACTGAACTTTATCCCTGCAGTCTTCATGAAGTGGGTCATGTCTTGCATCGTGGCTTACATCATAAAAGGATTTCTGTGAGGATGGACAGTGGAAACTGAGAGGCTGTTTGTAACCACTGAGTGAGACTTTTTCAGTTGAATTTTATGCAACAGACTTAACAAGGATCTCCCTTTTGGTTTTGGGTAATAACCCATGTTTCACTAGTCTTACCCCCTTCCAGTCCCCTCTTCTTTCCTCTCTCTATGCCTCCCTCCCTCCCTTTCCTGTGTCTTCTGCCCTCCCTCTCTCCCTTCCTTTCTTTCAGCTTTGCTCTGCAAGGGAATTGTGATCCCTTGGGAAGACCTTGTCATTTTGCCTGTAGACTCTCAAATGAAACGGTTTTACAAGTGATCTTAGTGAGTGGTAGCCTTCTAGTTAATTCCCTCTCAGGAGGTTAAATGTGTACTTGGCAGTACTCAAATCTTTGAGAAATATTTCTTTGGGAATAATTTTACAGTCAGTGCGAGAAAAGGCCAGGTAGTCCTTACATGGCCTATTTGCAAACTCCTCGCAAAAGAACACAGCTTGGTGAGTAGCTGCAGATTTCTCATTTCAGTTAACTTGCTCCTTCTACCTTGACATCAGGCGCTATTCCATTTGGAGAGCGATCTCTAACTCTAGAGTTAGTGCCAGAGGGGATGGCCATGGCACTTGAGTATAGGAGACAGACTCCCTAGTGAAGTGACCAAGGGGCTGACTCAGGATAGCATAAGTAACATTCTGATGAAGCCTGGCCCGAGAGACTCCAGCTCTTGGGGTTTCAGGAGAGTTCTGCTCTATTCCGGGAAATCGGGTAAACATGAAGTGTTAATCAACTGTTAGTGTAGAAGGGAATTGGTCTCACAATGAAGAAAAACATGTCTCTGGACCTCCAGTGAGAATAAACAAAAGTATCTGGTGGAGAAACTACCGCATAAGAACAGTAATCCCAAAGAGATAAACTGAATAAAACCAAAATAAGCCTTTGGATGATAAAACCAATTAGTGGCCACCAGGAGGGAAGAGAGGAAGGGAGCTGGCAGATCAGGGCAAAGGAGCTGTGGTATGGTGAAGGAAAGAACTGGACTTTTAGTGGTGAACCTGTTGTCGTTTATATACAGGTCGATTTTCAGTAATGCACTTGAAACATGGTATAGTGCCTTATTACTTCAATTTTTTTTTAAAAAAGGAATAGTAGGGCCTCCCCGGTGGCTCAGCGGTTGAGTGCTGGGTTGCGAAACTGCCCGGCCTCTGTGGCGCCGGTTCAATCCCCGGCTGCTCCCCAGCCACAGGAGGAGGGTCCCACATGGCGTGCAGACCTCTCCTGCCCCCGCTGCTCCCCCCAGCAGTGTACTTCAGTCCTTCTGCCTGCTCTGCTCCCCGCTCTGGCTCTGGTGAATTCTCTCACCCTCCTGGGCTTCTGACTGTACCCAGTGCTTGTATAAACAAGACAAACAAACAAACAAATAAATAAATAAATAAAACATGCCTCTATAAAAAAAAAAAAAAAATTCTTTAAAAAAGGAATAGTAACCCCATAAGAATTACAGTCATTTGCTTAACTTACCTGATTCAGAGAGAGCTGGTCAATCTCAGAACTGTAGTCTTCATTTTCACTGTCAAAGCAAGATGACAAGAATGCAATTCTGTTTGTTATATCGCTACAGTTACTGGGCAACGCATTTTAATGATCACATTAGCTTTGGGTGTAACACACACACACCCACCCACCCATTACTATCATCTTTGAAAATTAAGGACTTCTTTACATGCACATGCATACAGTAATTTGTACCTCACTAATTTGGAGTTAGTTATCACCAAGACAGGTCTTGAACTTTACCTGTGTTTTACCTATAAAGAAGATGGCTTGGCTAACAAATTGAATAGTTGCAGTTGAATTTCAGGGGAGAATATTAAGCTTCTTAAGAGAAAAGAAGTACGTTTGGAGCATCTTATTTTAATTTTAACCAAATCATATGTTATACAGATTGCTTCCCTGTATGCACTGAAACAGACTGAATAATTTCTAATTGGCAAAATGCCCAGACAACACTTTGCTAGCCTGTTAGTGTATGTTAATAGGTAATGGAAATACTTTGTGTATTTAAAGTGTTCTATAACTTTAAATTTTTATTCATTCATCTGAGAATTAAGTTTCACTGTGTATGTGCATCCACGTGTGCAGATTGCTGTGGGCCCATGTGAACCCAACAGAGACTGTATTTAAGTAGATGTTGAAATTCACTAGTGTCCCTTCCCAGAGGGTGACACTTCTTCCTCTTTTTTTTTTTTTTTAAGATTCGTTTATTTATGCATACAAGAACTGGGTGGTGAGAGGATCCCCCAGAGACAGAGCGGGGAACAGAACAGGCAGATTGACTGAAATACACTGCTGAGGGGAGCAGCGGGCGAGCCAGGAGAGTTCTGCTGTGCCATGTGGATCGCTCCCTGGCCGGGGATCGAACTCATGCTGCAGAGGCTGCGGACATCTTCATAGTGCGGTGCTTAACTCCTTGCGCCGCTGGGGAGGCCCGAGGGTGGCACTTCTATGTGCTGTCTCCACATCCACTCTGTCCATTCCTTCTTCATCTACTCTTGTGGTTCTTCTGTGGCCACCATTTTTCTGAGACACTCATGCCTCAGCTGTTATTGACCTCCATCTAGTGGCCACTTCCCCGTCTTCCTTTTCTGTCCGTGGCTCTGAACACACGTGAGCGCTCCCTCCCTTTCTTTTTTTTTAAGATTTATTTATTTATTTATTTATACAAGCACTGGGTATAGTCAGAAGCATGGGAGGGTGAGAGAATTCACCAGAGCCAGAGCGGGAAACAGAACAGGCAGACCGCCGAAATACACTGCTGAGGGGAGCAGCAGGCGCTGCAGGAGAGGTCTGTAGCACCTCCCTCCCTTTTGAATGCTTCCCAGCTTTGATTTCTGTGATACCCCACTCCCCTGGTTTTCTTTACTTTTTCTTGCTGCCTTTTTCAGTCACTTTTGCTGGCTCCTTCTCTCATGCTTCTCAATGCCCATGTCAGGGTCCATCCTCTTCTCAGAAGGTCTTATTTAGTCCTGTGGCTCCAGTTACCTTATGTTTGCTGACATCCATTCCTAAGTTTAAATTTCCTGTCTGTGTTCTCTGAGCTTCAGCTTTGCATATCTATCTGATTCTTTGACATCTTCACTTGCATATCTAATTGGTCCAAAAGGGAATCCTTGAGAAACCACTAACTTTAAACCTGTCTCTCTCCTGGTCTTCCTCAGTAAATGGCACCAAGATTTACTCAGTTACTCTTACAAAAAATCTGAGAAGTTATTTTTGATTCATTTTTTTTTCCTCATTCCAACACCCAATCCACTAGAATGACCATTAATTATCCTCTAAATTACTGTCCATAATCTCTTTTTCTTTCTTCATCAACTAGAGAGGCTTGGATGCATGGTAGTTAAACCACTCTCTTACCTGGATAGTAGGTACAATAGCCTACTCATTGGTCTCTCAGCTTCTACTTTTGTTCCTGCACAGTCCATCCCCCCACAGTGATTAGAAAAATATTTTTAAAAAGCACAATCTTATAATGTTACTTAAAATCTTCCAGTGGTTTCCCAATGACCTTGGAATACGTGCAGATTCCTCAGGATGGCTTATGGAATCTGGGTGAAGGCGGCTCTTATTTGTCTTTTAGGTTTATCTCATACCCCCTTCAGTGGTGTCTCCTGGTCATGAGAGCTGGTGTGTGTGTATCTTTTTCAGACTTTGCCTTGGGAACTTAAAGTTGGCTGTGGTGGGAGCATTCATACCTTGGAGACTGGTAAATGCTACAAAGCAAGGCTTTTTGTTTTTTTCCCAGAAGGTCAGTTGCGAAGCACTTTCCTGTACAACATCAATTCTCCCCTTTCTCATTATACTCCAGCCATACTGACCTTCTGGTTTTTTCTTGAACTCATCCAGCTTATTGCTGCCTTGGAAACTTGATATTTACTGTTCTGTCTGGATTGCTCTTTCTTTCCATGGTTGGGTCCTTCTGTCTTTTATAATTTAATTCAGAGTCATTTCCTAAGAGAAACTTTACATGATGAGCTTATTCAAGAGCCCCCTTCTCAACTCTGTCACATCACTCTGTTTTATTTCTGTCACAGCAGTTACTTTCAACTGAAATAATTTATTTTCTTAGTTGTCATCATCTGTCTGCACACATTAAAATATTCCCTCCTGTGTCTCCAGCGCCCAGAACAGGATGTGGCCCAGGATTGGTGCTTGACAGACATTATATTGAACTTCCTTATATGATTTATCCTCTTGGCTTTAATTTCCTCATCTAAAATTAGAACATGTGCACATATGGAGGCGTAACTCCAAAATTAAAATAATAATAAAAATGGATCATTGAGGTGATGTCACCAGAATGGTAAAGTGGGAGAGCCTAACCTCTGTCCTCCCACAAAGATCAACAATAATACGCCTATTCATGAACAAAAGCAGCTCTGGGAAAACTTGGCAGTCCACTTAAGAAACTTCAGCAACACACTGGAACAAAAAGCTAGAGAATAACTGCACAACAAGGGAAGGAAGAACAGTTTTATCCTTCCTGAATCATCCTGTCCTCCAGGTTGGCATTACTTAGTGCCAAGAAGGATCTCCCCAGTTAGAGTTCTCTCTCCGAAGGGAAAAGCAGGATCAGCTACCAGATTCCCTTGCCTTTTGGGACACTGCATGAAGGCCTATTTCTGTTTCATCCCATGTGGAGAACAGCAAAGCTGGATGTCTAGAGATGTCTAGGGACAGGAATAAAAAGGAAGGAAAGCAGGGGCTCCTAGAATTAGCCATACAGCAGGGCTGACTGCAGTTCCCAGGGACTTGCCCTGCAGAAGCCCCTGAAACTTTCACTTCCTAAGAAACAAAAGACAGCCCATCTGCTGTGGAACCCTTACAGATTTCACAGCTGTTTATGTCCTGGGTAACTGCTGCCTAAGTTCCTCCCAGCTTCCTGCTCTCTGCTCCCAGGAGAACCTGGGGCCTGAATTCTCCCAGTTCTCTGTGGCTGTGTGAGTGCACAGTGCCAGCCTAGAATGAAGAAGCTGAATGACTGTGTATGTGCTGAGGTGAGCCCTTCCAGCTACCAACCTCAGTGTTGTCATCATTCTCTACTACCATGTGTGCACCCAAGTGAGATATTCAACCATAGAAGGGCACACTGACAGCCACCTCCTTAACAGCTTTTTATGGGCCTGAATTTGTCTCTTTCTTTAGTCACTAGGGTCATGTGCAACTAGTCCTCCCCATTCCCCCAGCTGTGTACCTGAATGCCCTATTCTGACCCTTACCACTTGTCTTCACTGCTTTGTGCAAATCTGTGGGAAGACCTCATAGTCACAGGAGTGCACACTGACAGCCAGGGCACCCACAGCTGCTTGTGAGCTCAGGTTGGTCTTGTCTCCTGTCACTGGCCTTCACCATCAGGCTAGACCCTCTAGCTCTGCACCAGCCCAACTCTCTTCACCAAACTCCACTACCATGCCTGTGTTCCTGAGTAGACCCTGAACCCACAGGGTTACATGCCAACCCTCAGACCTCTGCAACTTCCAGCACACCTGCAGATGGCCCAGGTCATTGCTGCTGGCTCTGACCCCCACCACTAAATGTCTATCTGCACTTGGCCCCTGTCACACCACAGGCATCTGTGTAGACCTGCAGTGAGTCCCTGCCTCTAGACCTGGGGTTGCAGCACATTCTAGCAAGCACCCATACACAGGTGACATTACTCTCTTACCAGAATGAGTCCCTAAAATCTTTTAGAGGTGACCGCATCTTCAAATGTGCAGATACCTATGAAGCTCAGGTATTATAAAGAATTAGGGAAGCATAATATCTCCAAAGGAAACCTCTAGTAACTGACCCTACATAAATGGAGATGCAAGAATTGCCTGACAAAGGATTAAAAAGCCATTCTTTGAAAGGTGCTCAGGTAACAACAAGGATATACAAATGATTTAACGAAATCAGGAAAGTAATATAGAGCAAAACAAGAAGTTCAACAAAGAGTTAGAAAACATAAAAGAGAACCAAGCATATTTTGGAGCTAATGTATGTAGTCACTCACTGCATGATGAACATTTAGGTCATTGATAGACCATATATACAGTGAGGATGGTCTCCAAAGTCCTACTGACTGGAGATGTCATAGCTGTTATAAAGTCCTGGTGTTTTATGTTGGCACCGACCTCATACATCTCTTGTTTGCTGCCTCTCCATCTCTTGCCAACATTGTTTTCTCTTGTGCTCGATTTAATCTCATGCTGTTGTGTTCATCATGGCTTAAGGGTACAAAGACCACTGCTAATGTTGCCAGTAAGAAGCCACATGAAGTGATTGACCTGGAAACAAAATTAAAAATATTAAAGACAACAAAAGTAAAATGTCAGTGATGGCTATTCCTCCACATTCAGGTGTGTTCCAGTCCAGCACAGAATGATCTTGAAGAACAAGAACAAATGCTGTTAAAGGATCTGCTTCATTGAAAGCAATGAAACTAACAAAAACTCAAGAAGGGACTATATTACATATGAAGAAACTTTTAATGATCTGGTTTGAAGACCAGTATAGGGTGTTTTCCTGTTAGCACCCATGACAATCACAACCAAAGCAAGAAGTCTATTTTTATGTTAGAAAAAAAATAAAGGGTGAACCCAACGATGGTGCTGAATTTACTGCTGGCACCATAATGTTTGCACAATAATGCAATTGCCTAATGACACACTTCTCAGAATATATTCTTGCTGTTAAGAGATGTGTGATTGTACTATGACTGTCTGAAGAATTCAGTAGAAAGTTTCAACAACAGACTGGGCCAAGCAGAGTAAAGAATCAGTGAATTTGGAAACAAATCATTTGAAATTATCCAGTCAGAGGAGTGAATTGAAAAAAGAATGAAGGCAGTGAAGAAAGACTTATGGAACTTATGTAACACCATTAAGAGAAACAATTTATGTATCATTGGATCAGAGAAGGAGAAAGGGCAGAAAGTATTTAAAGAAAAAATGACTGAAAACTCCCCAAACCTAGAGAGAGACTTGATACCCAGTTTTATGAAACTAATAGGTCACTCCATAATTTCAATCCAAAATGATCTTCTCCAAAACATGTTATAATAAAACTGTAAAAATCAGAGACAGGAGATCAGAACAGCAGGTTTTCCACACATTAATCTTAGGAAGTCACATTGCCCTGGCGGTATCAGGGTTTCTGGGGACTTGGGGCAAAGGGAATACCTGCTTGTCCAGTGAAGGACTCAGGGACTCTTGTGTGTCTGATGGTTTCCATTTCTTTACTTCCGACTGAAAGAGGACCTAATTAAGTTGTTGATTAGTCATTAGACGTAACTTTTGATGATAGATGATTATGTGATATTGGCAAATAACTCAGAAGGATTTCAAGGAACTGAATGACGTTGCTATGATAAAGTTCCTTTAATTTCCATCTACTTATTACTTATATTATGAGTTCTCCCAGAGCTTATATTTAAAATGCCAAAATAGGGCCTCCCCGGTGGCGCAGTGGTTGAGCGCTGGGTTGCGAAGCTGCCTGCAGCCTCCGCAGCACCGGTTCTATCCTCGGCCACCGGGTGAGGGTCCCACATGGCGCGCAGACCTCTCCTGCCGCCCGCTGCTCCCCTCAGCAGTGTACTTCGTCAGTCTGCCTGCTCTGCTCTCCGCTCTGACTCTGGCAAATTCTCATCCTCCTGCGTGTCTGACTGTACCCAGTGCTTATATAAATAAATAAATCTTAAAAAAAAAAAGAAAAGAAAATGTCAAAATAGAATAGGATTGATGTTGAGTGCTCATTCTAATTATGAGTAATATATAAATATATGCAATAATTTTCAAAAGCTTCATCTTATCCAGATACATTGCTAATAAAAATGAACATTTATAATATAATGTTTATGTATTATTTTGATGAATTAGGTAATAACAATAATTGTAATGATGATTCAGTCTATGTGAATGAAGAAATTAACATTATGGTTATATAAAAATATAAAAAAATGCATTTTATTGTTGCAAAGAAGTATCATAGGATCATCAGTAAAATACTTTCAAGTTTAACATATTACATCAATATAAAGTTTCATGGGGAAATGGAAGTATTAATTCAAGGAGAAAAGGGAATTTTGTAAAAATTTCTGATTGTTGAAGAAAAGTTCATTCACATTTTTTAGATGGATGAACAATAAGAAACAATCACTGTGATACTGGGTTCCATTGGTTATATTTACAAAAGTGATGTAACAGTTTTATTTTAAAGTATCAGTATTTCCAATATTCCAGAAGTGATAACATTTGCAACTAATTATTTAAAATTACAATGAAAAATTTTTATATTAACCAAAATATGTATTGGGTCATAGATTTAATTAATTCTTTCAGGGGTTATGTAAGCTAAAACACTGGAAAACCAATACCCTATGAAGATTAGGACCCTGAAAGGGCCATTTGGGAAGGAAATTGGAATTTTTTTATGGTGGTGAGGCCCCCAGTGGGTGATGCATCAAAAGAACATAATCTATTTGAAATAGGGGTCTCGATCCCTAGGCTGGAGGGTACTGAGGCACAGTTGCCACTTGACATGTCTTTCTGATATCTTTTTTTTTTTTAAAGATTTATTTATTTATGCATACAAGAGCTGGGGTACAGGCCAGAGGTACGGCGGGTGAGAGGATTCACCAGAGACAGAGCGGGGAACAGAACAGGCAGACTGACTGAAATACACTGCTGAGGGGAACAGCAGGTGAGACAGGAGAGGTCTGCTGCACCATGTGGGTTGCTCCCTGGCCAGGGATTGAACTTGTGCTGCAGTGGCTGTGGACAGTTTCATAGGTTGTGTCTTAACCCCTTGCGCCACCAGGGAGGTCCTTCTTTCTGATATCTTTTATTTAAAGTCAAACCGTAGTGTGTGTAGATGCTCTTGTGTGTGCCTGGATTCCACATTTCCCTCTGCTCCAAGGACTCATCCATATCCATACTAAATTACATACTAAATTACATGGCCCCTTCGCATACTAAATTACATGGCCCCTTCTGGCCAGGTGCTTCTCTATCTTGACTTACAGCATCAGGATGCTCAGATGGTGACTGAGACTCCTTTGACGGACACTTCCTGACCCCAGGGCCCCATTCAGCAGACAGATGAAGGATTTCTTAGCTTTTTTTGTCCCTGAAGACTGATGGGATTGGGGCACAGGCAGTAGAGATGAGGGACCAGAAGAGAAGCATCGGCCTTTTCACGTAGCTTGTGGGAAAGATCAGGACTTGGAAGAGACTGGTGGCTTAGTCCCAGTCACAACTCACCCTTGGTCTCCACTTGCCCAGACATAGGCCTCACTTGAGCCCCTCTATTCCCAGCTGTCCCATTTGCTGGAAAGTAAAATCTTAGAAACAACAAGGCCCCAGACCCCTGGCAGCCTCCTTGTCTTCCCCAGGACATTCCTTGCCCTCCCCTAGCCCTACCTTTTCTGGTCCAAATGCTGCATTTCATGGTTTTGTGAACTGCTTTCAGAGAGAGATTTGAATATTTCATGATTGTTCATGTAAGCAAATAGTCATGCTTGCACAATTAAGAAAATCAATGCTTCTGGACTCGTGGTGTGTGTGTGTGTGTTTGTGTTGGGGGGCTTGGTAAGGGCACTCTAATGACTCATCTTGCTTCACAACTGTCAATCTAGGAGCCAGGATGTAGATGATATGTGCTGAGAACTGGGAGGAGTCTCTGACTGGTTCTGCACCTGTGGCATCACACCAGTTTCCTGAGTTGTGCTCACCTTGGCTTCCAGTTGAACCAGATGTTTGGGAGTAATTCAGCAAAGTTTCAGAGAGGGGGAAGGAGGTCTGCACAGAAGACACACTGACCTAGCCCTGCACCTCTGACCAAGATGTTGCAGTAGTCAACCTTCCTCAACCTGCCTTTCAGACCAGATATGCCCCCACCACTGTACCATTCACCTTCTGCCATTTGACACTTGCTTACTCCAGCATCAGCTTACAGGGTAAGACACACCCTAGCCCAGTGGACTGCCTGTCACAGAACCCTAGACATCAAGTCACAATCACAAGCACTGGCCTCCTACTCTCTAGGTCCACAGGATCTGGAAAGCTAGCAGGATCTGTGTTAGGCGAGGTGTGTTACCTGCTGGAGGAGCAAATTGACTTCCCGTTCCATTGGAAAGACTTTCTACTTTGGTTGTATTTCTTGTGTTTGGTTGAGGTGGGAGGACGCTGGCTCTCACCACTGCAATCATCTGGCTCTTTCCATTTAGAAATGGCCATTTCTTCTTCTGTTTTTTTTCTAATTCTATTTAAAATTTTTTTTTTAATTTATTTTCTTACATCATTGTTCATTTTTGAGAAGTAATTGGTTTCTCCCCTTAGGTGTAGACTCCACAGTACTCGCCCCACCCTGTCACCCGGGACCCATCACCTTATTCCCTTGTGCTCTTCCCTCTCCTGTTTTGACCCCCTCCCACTCCCTTCCCTGCTGTATTCCTCAGTTTTCCAGAGGCAATGGTCTCACCGCCAAAGCTGATAAAGGGCTGTTTTCAGGGAGAGTACTTGGCCCCAAAACAGGAATAGAAGAACCATTGGAAGGTCAATTTTAATCTTTAGATCAGATCCAGGAGTTGAAACCCAAAGCCTTTTGAACAATTTAATGCAGGGGAGTTAAAAAAAAAGAATTAGTAATTCATAAATACTTTCTTCTTGTAAAAAAACTCAAACATTTCTTTTTTTTTTTTTAAAGGCATGTTTTTTATTTATTTATTTGTTTGTTTGTTTGTTTGTTTATACATGCACTGGGTACAGTCAGAAGCGCGGGAGGGTGAGAGAATTCACCAGAGCCAGAGTGGGGAGCAGAGCAGGCAGAAGGACCGAAGTACACTGCTGAGGGGAGCAGCGGGCGGCAGGAGAGGTCTGCGCGCCATGTGGGACCCTCCTCCGGTGGCCGGGGAGCAGCCGGGGATCGAACCGGCACCGCAGAGGCCGCGGGCAGCTTCGCAACCCAACGCTCAACCGCTGCGCCACCGGGGAGGCCGTTAGTATTAATCTTAATGATAAAAATATTACATTGTGAAAAGTAAAATTCACCCGTGTTAATTAATAGTAATTTAATGGTAGTGAGTAGTTAAAACAAAAAGTAATCATACAAAACAAAAAGAAAAATTAATAGCCTAACTACTTAGGAATGCACCTGAGTCCAGATGTAAATCACTGCCCTGTCAATGATAAGCTAAACCTATAAGCAAGCTGATTTCTTCACTGATATTCGCCATTCCTACGCTTTTAGAAAACATATATATACTGGTCACCAACTCAAATTAAATTACACTCAGATTTTCACTCTTGAAGTGTGTCTGTTTGTCATTTCTTTAACCGAATCCCTGACCATCCTGTGCAGTCTCTCAACCCTGAGACGGCCTCATCGTTCACTGCTGTGCAAGTCTGCGGCACTTTCTGTGTGGGGACTCCTGTTCAGCCTTTTAGACTTGACTCACATGTCATCATCCTTGATCCTCTGGCCTTCACAGAGGGTCTTGTCACTCTTCCCTGACTGCTCCTCTTCTATTTTATCCTACCTCTACTGGTTATTTTTGCTTGTATATATCTACCTGCCCTATCTACCTAGGAAACTTTACCTTTCTCTTTCTATATTACCAGCCCCTAATTCAGAACATTTGTTTAATACATATTGAATAAATAAATAGAGAAATTGACAGCTCTTACTCCTAACCCTTACTAATCCCTATAATGATTAATACTATTACTACTACTACTAATCAACTGATCCTGTTTTTCAGATGAAACTTGTGCACTAAATACCTTTTTGTTGAAATACAGAAATGAAGAGGGCTGGAGGGCATGTCTTTGCAAGCCGTGGACATGGTGGAGGTTATCTGTATCACTCAGTGATGAGGGATCAGCTTCCAGCTCCCCAAGGAGAACCCTCATAGACCCACTTATATTTACTCTTTGGTGGCACATTCAAAAAAAGTCTCTCACCAGGTAGAAGTATTTTTTTCAGTGAAATTTATTTCAGAATCATGGAAGCAATACGATCATCATCTGAGCTTATCTATTTTCAGTCTTGGTAAAGTAAAGATTAAAGATAAAGATGACACACTAGGCCAAATAAAATTGAATCAATAGATAGTGAAGACTGGGTTCTTTCACAGACACTGCTACTTCCTGAATTAAATAGACTAAACCCTCAATAAATAAATAAATAAATAGTTAAGTGGTTCCAGAAGCAGGAAACAAAGGACAGAGGGTAATGGTTTCTGCCAGACTGACTTTGAGTGAGTAAGAGAGACAAGAGGAGCTTGGCTTAGCAGAGGTGGGGGTGTCTGAGATTGGCCCGGGAGGAAGGGGACCTTCCTCCTGTCTGGTGGGCACTAATACACGGATGGCAACTGGGCACCAATTGGATATGTTTGGCCTACAGCCATGTTCAAAACCCTTATACTCCCCTCCTGGAGCCCCATGGGTCATTCTGCACATGGGGACTCTCTGTCTGGCTCTTTAAGGAGAGATGACTTCCATGGAGAAGTCAGTTATATCCTGGTTGCCTCTGGTGTTTCCCAGGAAGAGGGGCATTTGTTCTGCTTGAGAGGTGCTGATGTACCAGTTGGGGAACTGGGCAGACTCAAATTCAAAATGCTCCTTGATTGCTGTCTTATTGAAGACAAATCTCTCTTCCATCTTCTTCTTTGGGTACATTTTGGGGTCTACCGTCTGTAGCAAAACAGAAGGAAGAACTTTTGTGAGGGAAGAGACAAAGACATTCTGGGAAATATGTTCTTGGGTCAACTGGAGAGGAAACCGATGAGCAGGATGAGGGGCCAGAATCCTAAGTTATTTTTGTGACCCCAGCTTTCTATAAGGTAGTTGAAGTAATTCTTAACCTTTTTGAGATTTAATATGGAATGCCAGAAAGAATGATATAGGTGGGCATATTTTTTAAAAAAGTGAAAATTAGGTTAAAACTTCTAGGAGTTAGGTTAAAGCTTCCAAGGGCTTTTGCTGTATTTTTCCTTATGGCTGTGGTGAGAATGACATCAACTTGGGTATGAGACTTTTATGGGCACACTGGCTATTGGGGGAGGGTGTTTGGGAGGTGAGTGGAGATAGTGAGTGGAGATAATGATACAGGAGCATTTTGAATGGATGAATCCCTCAAAGTGTGATCCATCCATGGAACAGCCTAAAAATCTACAATTCTTCCATCCTGTATGTTGTATAATCTGTTGGAGGTGGGAACAATAGCAGGACATAGGAACTTCAGCAAAATGATTTAATTTTCTGTGGTGGCAGTGAAAGTTGCATGCATTTAACAATTCCATTAAATTTATTTACATTTGTGCAAAATTATCAAATAAGTCTGCTCCCTGACTTTCTGAGGGGGGAAGGTGTTTGTCTTAGCAGTGAGTGAGCACTAGGGGTGCTTCGGAGGAGCCTGAGTAGGGCCTTTAGTCCCTGCTACTCACTCACCTCCAGCTGCAGGGTGGGCTTTCCATCTTTCATCACACACGACAGGTACAGATTCTTATCCTTGAGGCCCAAGGCCACGGGTATCTTGTTGTTGGTTTCTTCTCCTTGCACAAAGCTCATGCAGAACACCACTGGAGAAAGGAGGGACTTCATGGTCAGGGACACACAGCAGTGAAAGGTTGGCTCAACTGGACCCCAAGCCCAGGCCCTGTACACTATAGTGTCCCCTGCAGGGGTGTACACTCAAATCCTGTGACCCACTGGCAGACAACTTCTCATAGTAACAGCAGGGTCACTTGGTTGATTCTGATTTTCCCCACAGAAAGTCTAGGGGTTCTTAGTGTCTCATCTCATTGGCAATGAAGCATTAGGAAGGCCTAATTTTTGAAGAGTGAAGGAAGTTATCATGTCACTGGCAGGTGATGTATTTATCTGCATGCACAGAACAGTGTGAAAAGCAAGGAAAGAGATAAAGTGGGACCCAAAATAAATCAGGTATCAGATCTGTTTCAGCAGCTTAGAGCAGCAAGTGGGAAGAACTTGGGAGAGGAGAGGCTTGGCTGGGGAAAGTGTCGCCAAAGAAACACTCATTTTAGTCTTAGTCACAGCTGTCTCACTTGAAGGACCCAAGACCACACTCACAACACAGTTCTAAAGACACAGGATCATCCTGTCCTGGCTGAGGACAGGAAGCTTCACCCCAACTGATGCTGCCTTTTAAGGGCGATAGCCTTGGGTGTGATCAGGCTGCTCCTTTCAGCTGCTCGCCAGGCTGTACCCCTGCACACAGGCTTCAGCCATAGTGGCAAGGTGCCAGGCAGATCCCCACAATGAATGGGCTTCCCAGACTGGAAACATTTGCCACTTACAATAGAGAGATATAAGTTCCTGCTTGTCAGTAAAATTTCCCCACATGGAATTATCTGGTATTGGGTGGGAAGGATGTTAGGGCTAACGGGGTAAGGTTAGGAATGAAGATGGACATATTATCTCTTCACCATAGTAATTTCAACCTCAGTAACGGAAGAAAGAACCCACAGGCAGTTAGGGCATGTCCATCAAATGACCCCGTTCTGTGGAAACACTGAAACTGCACTAGCTTTCAATGACTTGGCATGACAATGGCCCTGGGTGTGCGTGAGCAGCCTATTCTAAAAGTCCCCTCTCTTGCTGAAAAATGGATGTGCTGAGAGAAAGAGTTTGCATCATTGCTAGAAAATGACAAAACATATGTTCTTTACTATATATTTTCTTCATTTGTGTTGATCATTTCCTTGATGTTGCACTTTGTTGAAAATGTGGAGAATCAGCAAGCTGACAGAGGCCAAGAAAGGAATCAGGATGTCCCCATTTACCTTGTTGATCCAGAGACTCTCCTCTGAGGTGGAGAGCGTGAAGCTGACATGCATCAGACAGCACCAGGCTCTTTTGTTCTATGTCCTGGAGCCTGCAGTTCAGCCATCTTGGAGGTGCATCACACAACAAATCGTCATCATCCTCGTCACAAAGGATGGGTTCTGAAATGTGGAGCACATACGCTGTTTATGTGGGAAATCAGAAGGGCACAGTGATGATGTGAGGCAGCAGAATTCCATTTCCAGAGGGACATCTGAGCACGCCCAGTATCGTCCAATTGTGACATTGGTGGAGAGGATGTTGGAGTGTGTGAGAACACTGAACCTTATGCTATATGGCACAGATTCAAATTTCAGTTCTCTTGTTTGCTGTGGGTCAGTAATACAGCTACCAATGTAAAAATACACAATGGTGACAGTGAGAACACTAGCCCAGCAGAGACGTTGTGAATTGCAGGAGATAATGTGAGAGAAATCACTCTGAGAATGATTGATTGGTTTGCAAATGTGAGTAGTGAGTTAGCTGCCACTGCCAATATACTTCTAGAATACAGACAACATTGTGAACCAGTGTTACCCTGATAATAATAATAATAATAATGATAGAAAAGAATAGTTTCAACTAAAGAGATGATTAATTTGGCTTCTTGACTTCTCTGTTTTCCTCTTGTCTGAGTTCAGTTCCTCTGAGTCTTCTACATTGATTGATTGATTGATTGAGATAATGTTGGCTTACATTATTGCTAGTATTTTGGAAGTGAATCCCCCCTTCAGATACAGTTACCATAATGCACCCACCACCAAATCACCCACAGTCCACCCCCATAGTCCATTGTCCTCCCTTTTCTTTCTTCTCTCGCCTCCCCAACTCCCTTCCCCTCTGAATGCTTCAGTTCTGCAGTCAGCTGTCAAGGGCTAAGTGTCTTTATCTGACCTTTACTTTAACTTGGGGGAGTTTAGTTAACTGTTGGGTTATGGACTATGGGAAGGAAGGCACCAAAAATTGCCTATCTGCCCCCAGCTCTCACAAAGTACCTTCTTCAAAGATGAACAAAAAGAGGCTCCTGAGGTTGTCATTCCGGAATGTCAGCGAGTCAGGAACGAGCATGTTCCGCAGCTTCTCCACAGTCACAATGATCGACACCACCCGCCTGAACTTCTTGTTGTAGAGCTGGCTGGAGATTTGGAACTCGATGCCATCATCTTCCTGAGAAATGAGGTCCAGGTCTTGGAAGCATTGCTGTGGAGAGACCAAGAAAGTGAATATGTTGAGGTGGTCAGCTCAGATAACCCCTGTTTGGAGCACAGAGATGTGGAAAGAATCTTAGAGATCACCGAGTTTCTAAGGAGGAATTCTTGTCTCTCAGAAGCTCAGAAAGCTGAAGTGGCTTACCCAAGCGCATGTGGCAAGTTAGAGGCACATCTAACACCAGAATGTGGGCTTTCTGATGCCATAGTTGATGTTCTTTTAGAATAAATCCTAGTTCTACCTTGTTTGTCTTTTTTTATACATGCTCCACCTAACTGTGATCTTACATCATCTTACACTTTACGTCTTTTTGTGTCGCAATACTCTAACATCCTGTATTTAATTTTTCATGGCAATGACCATCTTAATGCATCTATGTGCATTCAATAATTTTTCAACTATTCTATACATATTTTGATTTTTTTCAAAAATGCTATCTCATAAGCATTCTGCAAATACTATAAAAGTAGGTGCTATTTGTGAAATATGTTCCCACTTTCCCATTGTTTATAGCAATTGAATTAAAACTTAACCAGGGTTACCTGGAGGCATGATAATCATGCGGGAGAGAAGTTTCTACCCAGAGCAGAGACTCCAGATGAGAGAGACTTGCAGTTGGAAGAGATAGTGGGGGAGAAGCCAGAAAGACATCCCCACAGTGCGGGTGTGGACCAGTAATAACCTGTACAGTGGACCTAACTGGGATGGTGCCTGTGCCCCCTAGGAAGGTTAGCAGGCATCATGCAGAAGGGAAGGGACAGTTGGAAGTCAATGTGACCATTTAGAGTTGGCAGTCATCCACTCATTCTCTGGGATGAACTTAGCTGCCACTGCCAATGTGTCAGAGCTAAACTGGCAGTATGCAAGGATCTCAGGGCATCTAGTGCAAGCTCTGTATCTTTCAGATGAGGCCAAAGGGTGAGATGACTTATCCAAGGTCAAACTGCAAGTGAACAATTTTCTTTCAACTCCCAATCAGTATTTTTGTTTACATCATCTGCATCTTGTTAGAAGCTCCAGCCCAAGGAGCAGGAAAAACCTATTGTACCCGTAAAAGGAGCAGACATATGCTTATTGTCAAGGTCAGTTCCTCCAGTCTCAGAGTTGACTCAAGTGATTAGCATAGCCTGAACTCCTCTTCTAAAAGGAGAATCGAATTTGCATTGAAGCCTTGGCTGTCTTCCTAACAGGAGGCAGCAAACATCACCATGGTAATTCACCCCTGCCCTCTGCAGGCATGGCCACCCCAGCGAGGCTCAGTGAGAGAGGGGTGGTGTGGGAGCTGCAAAGTGGCCAGCTGAGCATGCAGTGCAGCCTGCATCTACCACACTGGATGAGACTGTAAAATACCATGGAACAAAGTGGCTCAGAACCCTTTTCATTGAGCCATTCCCAGTGAGAGCTAAGCTCGTGGTCTTACCTTCATCTGTTTGGGGCCATTGGCCTCGAAGTACCGGTCATTCTCACTGCTGCTATTAAAAAATAAAAGAGATTTTTCAGTTGTGTCTCCTAGACAAGTTTATTTTTCCTTCTCTGCAAGAAGTTTTTCCTGTTAGGAGGAAAATGCACACAGCACATCCCTTGAAGCTACCTGCAGCCAGCAAGTTCCTGGCGATATGCATGCAACAGTACAGGAGGTAGGGACGGTGCTTCCTGGTGGATCCTGAGACCTAACTTCTAGCCACAGTCAGTTAAAGTCCATGTTTCCCTCCTCACTCAAGCTAAACTTTGCCAAGGGGTTCCCTGTACTCCCACCTGGAATCTTTTCTTCTTGTTCGCCACCTGCAGGACATTCCTGCAGAATGTCTGGATGTCCTCTGGGTCCCAAGGCTGCTTACAGTGGGAAATCAGTCCTTAAACCAGGTTAACTTGGAACCCTGCTTACCACTGCAAGAGGCAGTTTGGGGCGGGGGACACATGCGGTTTCCAAGCACAGATAGTTTTATTCTTGACAGGGGAGCCCTGCTCACATTCCTGGCCTCTGTTTCCCCACTGACCTGTGGTAAGCCATTTCATTGGAAAGTTCAGGAGCTGCTGCCATGGCTGTTTCAGAAACCTGTGTAAAGAGGAGAAAATCTGTGAGCACTGCCATGTCAGTCCCCAAAAGAATGGCCTTCATCTGTAAGTTTCCCTCATAAGCTAATTTAGGGCATGCATTCAAAAATCTTTGAATGCGGGCTTCCCCGGTGGCGCAGCGGTTGAGTGCAGGGTTGCGAAGCTGCCCACAGCCTCCGCGGCGCCGGTTCGATCCCCACTGCTCCCCGGCCACCGGAGGATGGTCCCACATGGCTCGCAGACCTCTCCTGCCGCCCGCTGCTCCCCTTAGCAGTGTACTTCTGTCCTTCTGCCTGCTCTGCTCCCCGCTCTGGCTCTGGTGAATTCTCTCACCCTTCCGCACTTCTGACTGTACCCAGTGCTTGTATAAATAAATAAATAAAAATAAATCTTAGGGAAAAAAAAATCTTTGAATGAGTGAGTGAATGTGTGAAAGCAGCATCTTTTGATTTAGCACTTGCTAAATCAAACCCAAACAACAGCGTATCGGTTAGGCGATAGGAGCAGAGGATTTGACACTGATTTCTCAGCTGTTAGACTCTTTCACAAGTCATAGCCTTCCAATATACTTGGCAGTTTAGCCCAAAATGCCAGCATCAGGCAGAGGGGAGGGGAATAGTGAAGGGGGTGGAGAGAGAGAGAGAGAGAGAGAGAGAGAGAGAGAGAGAGAGAGAGAGAGAGAGACACGCCTTTAGGGCCTAGTCTTAAGGAAGAGTTAGTTAGAAACTCTACCTTAGCAATGGAGACTGGCTGGAGAGTATGGTATCCCAGAGTGGCCTTTTGTGCCGTGAAGAGATATGGTGGCTGCGAATTTCTCCTTCACCTGTTTTATAGCCTTCAAAAGCAGAAGTAGAGAAATGAGAAGGTTCCTTTTTGGTTAACTGATTTCCTAACCAAGTTATTATTATTTTTTTAACAAAAAACACAAAAGGATTGATGGGAACGTCAGGGAGAAGATAAAATTGAATCATTCTCCTATTCATGGAAAGGCAAGGGTAGCAACGTATGACACATTTCTGCAAATGTGTCATCAGGCAAATATGTGTTGTGTTTCTGATGACTATTATGCAGATGATGGCAATATTAAAATATGGGGTTTTCCTAGGTTAGAAAAAATTTTTAATTTAGGACATGTGGGACAAAGTGGAGGATGCTCAGAACATACATACAAAAACATCCTCTCACCTTGTACTGAAGTTTAGGGACGTTCCCTTAGGATATGGAGTATATGGACGTGGAGTTGAAGATGGATACATGGACATAATGAAGTGACAGTAACCCTCTTAGTCTGAGTCTTCTATCCAGACCTGGGTCAATGACAGGAGCCACTGGGGAATACTTGACCCCCCTCTTAGATGGGACAGAGGAAATTTGTGCAGGGGGCAGGCTTCTGATGGGTGCAGGGATTCCTTGAAAATAAGTTCATTCAATCCTTTCAGACCAGGTCCTGGTACCCTAGCGAATTGCATGTGACTCAATATCAATGCTTTTTAAAAATATTTTTTAATAAATATTAAATTTTTTGGACATTTTTGGTGATATGTGCACATTTCACCACCTTCCACCAAACCACCCAGGATCCCTACCAGTGTTTGACCAACAATGGGACAGGCTTGGAAGGAGAATGTATTTGAAAAGGTAGTGAATGAGTCAAGTTTTCAGAATTTAAATTGCTTTTTAAAGTGCAGAGAAGGGCCTCCCCGGTGGTGCAGCGGTTGAGTGCTGGGTTGCAAAGCTGCCGGCAGCCTCTGCAGCGCCGGTTCAATCCCCGGCCGCCAGGTGAGGGTCCCATATGGCTCGCAGACCTCTCCTGCCGCCCGCTGCTCCAATCTGCAGTGTATTTCATCAGTCTCTCTGTTCTGCTCCCCGCTCTGACTCTGGTGAATTGTCTCACCCTCCCGTGCTTTTGACTGTACCCAGTGCTTTGTATAAAAAAATGTTAATTCCGAAAACTGGAATATTGTTATAATCTCCAACTGAGACTGTATGCCTTGTTAACTCAAGGACCATTAGATTTTATTTTATTCTCCAGTTTTACTGAGAAATAATTCACATATAGCATTGTATAAGTTGAAGGTATGTAGCATGATGATTTGCTAGATGTATATCTTGCAAAATGATTTCTACAATAAAGCTAGTTAACATGCTCTTCTCCTCACATAATTATTTAAATAAAATATCTATAAAATTTCCTGATATATATTGTGGTGTGAACATTTAAGATCTACTCTCTTAGCATGCAGATACAGTATAGTTGATGATAGTCACCATGTCCAGAACCTTTTCATCTTATAATTGGATGTTTGTACATGTGACTAATATCTCCATTTCCCCAGCCCCTAGCCCTTGATAACACCATTTTGTTCCCTGTTTCTGTGAATTTGACCTGATTTTTTTTTTTTTTAGATTCCACATGTAAATGAGATCTTACAGCATTTATCTTTCTTTCTCTCTCTGATTATTTCACTTAGTGTAATGCTCTCAAATTCTACCTGGGATTTCTTCTTTTTTTGTGTGGCTCAATAATATATACATTATATAATGTGTGTGTGTGTGTGTGTGTATGTGTGTATGTATACATATGCCTCGGTGTATATACATATACACATATTATATTTTTCTAATCCATTCTGTTGAGACACTTTAGTTTCTGTGTCTTGACTATTGTGAATAAAGCTGCAATGTATATGGGAGTGAAGATACTTTTATTTATTTATTTATCTATTTATTTAATGAATGTATTTTTTACATCGTTGTTCATTTTTATTTTTAATTTTTAATTTTTTTATTTTAACATTTATCACTTTTTAAATTTTTTTAGACAATATTTGCTTTCCCCCACCCCCTCAGATTGAGTCCCCATAGAATCTCCTTCCCCAAGGCACCCATGCACCATCACCACAGTCCCCTGTGCTCCTCCCTCCCTCCCTCTGATCCCTCTCTCTCCTCTTCCCCTGCAGTATGTCTCTGGTTTATAATTGTCTCTTTTTGCTTTGTTGTGTTTTGTACTGTTATTATTATTTTTTTAAGTACTGATGTCTTATTTGGTTCCCCTATATTCCTGTTATAAGTGAAACCATCCGATATTTTTCTTTTTCCTTCTGGCTTATTTCACTGAGCATAATTCCTTCTAGCTCCATCCATGTTGCTGCGAATGGCCTGAGTTTATCCTTTTGATTGCTGAAAAATATTCCCTTGTGTATATATACCACATCTTCTTGATCCAGTCATCTATTTTTGGGCATTTGGGTTGTTTCCAGATTTTACCTATTGTAAATAGTGCTGCAGTAAACAGGTGTACAGGTGCTCTTTTGAATCACTGTTTTCGTGTCCTTTGGGTAGATCCCTAGTAGTGGAATTGCTGGATCATATGGTGGCTCCATTTTTAGTAGACTGAGGAACCTCCAGACAGCTTTCCACAGTGGTTGGACCAGTTTGCACTCCCACCAGCAATGTAGGAGAGTTCCTTTTTCACCACATCCTCGACAACATTTGTTGTTGCTGGTTTTTTTGATATGTGCCATTCTTACTGGTGTAAGGTGGTATCTCAGTGTGGTTTTGATTTGCATTTCCCTGATGATAAGGGATGTTGAACATTTTTTCTTGTGCCTGTTGGCCATTTGCATTTCCTCTTTGGAGAAATGTCCTTTAGGTTCTTCTGCCCATTTCTTGACTGGATTGTTTTTGTTGAGACATGTGAGTTCTTTGTATATCTCTGTGATCCATCCCTTGTCAGTGGTATGGAGTGCAAAGAATTTTACCCGATCATTGGGGTGTCTCCTTGTTTTGGTTAATGTCTCCTTTGCTGTACAGAAGCTTTTCAGTTTGATGTAACCCCGGGTGTTTATCTTTTCCTTGGCTTTCTTTGCTTTGGGTGATGAATCTTTAAAGATGTTACTGAGATGTATGTCTTGTAATGTTTTACCTATATTTTCTTCTGTATATTTTCTGGTTTCAGGTCTTATGTCCAGAGAAGATAACTTTTTTACATAATGATTTAATCTTTGGCTATATGGAAGTGGAGGTCCTGGAACATATGTTATTTCTATTTTTCAAGTTTTTGAGGAACCTCCATACTGTTTTACCACAATGGTTGCATCAATTTGCATTACCATCAACCACGCAGCAGTGTTCCTTTTTTTCTATAGCTTACTAATATTTGTTATTTTTTGTCTTTTTGATGAGATGTAAGGTGATATCTCTTTGTAGTTTTGATTTAAATTTCCCAGTGATTAGTGATACTGGGGAATTTTCATGTTCCTGTTAGCCATTTGGATGCTTTCTTTGGAGAAATGTCTATTGAGATCCTCTGCCCTTTTAAAAATTAGATTATTTTTATTATTATTTTGCTATTGAGTTCTTTATATGTTTTGGTTTTTGAATCCTTTATCTAATATACAGTTTGCAAATATTTTCTCCTAAAAGTTTCTTTTTCATTCTGTTTATTGTTTCTTTTACTGTGCAGAAACTTTTTAGTTTGATGTAGTTCCATTTGTTTATTTTTCTACTTGTTATTGCCCTTGCTTTTGGTGTCATATCTAAAAAGATGGTTGCCAAGACCAATGTCAAGGAGATTTCTCCTTGTTCTCTTCTGGAGCTTTACAGTTTCAGGTCTTACATATAAGTTTTTAATCCATTTTAAGTTAGTTTTTGTGAATGGTGTAAGATAGGGGTCTAAAGGTCTAATTTTATTCTTTTGTATGTGAATACCCAGTTTCCCCAACACCATTTATTTAAGAGATTAAATTTTTTTTCCATTGAGTAGTCTTGGTACTCTTGTCAAATATTAGTTGACTGTATATGTATGAGTTTATTTCTAGGTTCTTGGTTATGTTCCATAGGTCTATGTATTTCTTTTTATGATTGTACCATATTATTTTGATTACTATAGCTTTGCAGTTTAGTTTGAAATCACAGAGTGGAATGCCTCCATCTTTGTTCTCTGTTCTCAAGATTGCTTTGGCTGTTTGGAGTCTTGTGGTTCCATATGAATGTAACCTTTTTCTATTTCTGTGAAATTCATATTTCATATGTGAAAATTTCATATTTCTACAAAATAAGGGATTTTGATAGAGATTGCATTGTATCTATAGATGACTTTGGGTAGTGTGGGCATTTTAACAGTATTAATTATTCTGATCCAAAAGTATGGGATAGCTTTTCAATTGTTTGTGTCTTCTTAATTTCTTTCAGTGTCTTATAATTTTCAGTATACATATCCTTCACTTTCTTAGTTAAGTCCCTAATAATTTTATTATTTTAATGCTACTTATTATTTAATGCTATATTTATGCTTTAGGTTAGATTTTAAAATATTTTCCTTTTTAGGGCCTCCCCAGTGGCACAGCGGTTGAGCGCTGGGTTGCGAAGCTGCCCGCGGCCTCTGTGGCGCCGGTTCGATCCCTGGCTGCTCCCCGGCCACCGGAGGAGGGTCCCACATGGCGCGCAGACCTCTCCTGCCGCCCACTGCTCCCCTCAGCACTGTACTTCGGTCCTTCTGCCTGCTCTGCTCCCCGCTCTGGCTCTGGTGAATTCTCTCACCCTCCTGTGCTTCTGACTGTACCCAGTGCATATATAAACAAATAAACAAATAAATAAATAAATAAACATGCCTTTATAAAAAAAAATATTTTCCTTTTTAGATGTTTTGTTTTACACCAACATTGTTTAACTTATAGACTAGTAGAGAGCCAGCCCAGGTCATGGACACAGGGTAGCCTTCACATTTATAAAATGAATGAATGACCAGGTCATAAAAAGATGCAAGGAGTCTAGAAATGGGGTCTTCCCCACCCCCTACTTGGCGCATATATATA